ATCTAATCTGATATTCATGTCAGGGAGACTCAGCCCAGCCCCTCACACCGGCCTTGCTGCAGTCAAGGGGCTGGAGGCTGGCTGGGGAAGTAGGCTGGGTTGGTGGTCCTGCCCCAGGAGAGCTGAAGGCCCAAGGACTGTGCTCTGGGGTGCACACAGGACCCCCTGCCATGGTGGACATCCCTTAGCAGTGTGTGAAACCCACCTGCCCTTCAGGTGGTCACAGTGCAGCTGAGTGAGCTGTGAGTGCCAGCTACATCCCCGACCTCTTGAGGGTAGGAAGGGGGAAACCAGTGCTGGAGCCCAGGGTTGTGTCTAGCCTCATCCTGGCTCATCCTGTGGTCCTCAGCCCCACAGGGCCCCCTGCCTTCACCTGCAGATGCAAAGCCCTCCAGACAGGCAGTTGGCATAGGGACAGCCCCAAGGCTCAACCAGAGCCTGGCTGGAGGCCCGGGGCACAGTGACCTGCTGCTGATACAGCAGCCAGAGGACAGAAAGGTACCTTGTCCTCGTGAAGACCCGCCTTGACCCACTCCCTCACTGCCAGCCCCATTCCTCTTCCCAAAACTACTACCACCAAAGTACGGGGCCACTCCCCTCCCCAGGGACCCCGCAACCAGGACCAGGGGGCTACAGACAAGAGTTGGCTTTATTCACGGACACGGGGGCAGCTGTGTCACTGGCAGCTGCCCTCGTATTGCACATCCAGCGACGGGGGAATATCCATGCCACGTCACAACACAGCGTCGGCACTATGGGACCTCGGGGGGGGCGCAGGCACCGTCACCACCCAGCAGGCTGGGGAGAGCGGGCTTGGGCGCCAGGGGTTCACAAAGGCAAAAGACCCGTCCACCCATAGATAGATAGAGATATATATAAAAAAAAATAGTTCCACGATGACCAGAGCAGAACCACAGGGACACGCGTGCAAGCGAAATGTACAGCAGCCCGCGAGCAGGTAAACATGCTTTGTACAGACACAGACACGCCGGGACACAGCCGGGGTTTATGGCGCTGGGAGGGATACAGAGCCATAAACCCGGGCTTCATGGACACACACACGCACGCACACGCACACACACAGCAGCCCCTGCGGGCAGCACCCACGGCTCGGGCTCACACCGGGGCTCGGGGGCTTGGACACAGCGGGTTTTTCTCACTGCTAGACATGTTACGGAGACACGGACACGGTCCCTTGGAACGGAACTGGAGGAAGAACTCGTGAGCGAACGGGGCAGGGGCACCCCTGCTCCTCCCCGGCGCACAGGCACCGGCCGGGGCCGGCTGGGGAGGAGCAGGGGGCTACCGGCGGTTCGTTGTGCTGCTGGTGGAAGAGGCAAGGATGGGGGTCCATTATGCCTCTGGCTCGTATTCCTGGTATTCCTCCTGTGGGATGGGTAAAGAAAGAGTTAATGAGAGAGCTCAGGTGGGGCACAGACCCCCTCTCTCCCCCAGCCCTATGCCATCTTTGCTCCAGACAGCGGTAGCCACCAGTGCCGAGAACACTGTCACACTGTGCCCTCCACAGTGCCCTGTGCCCTCCACAGTGCCCTGTGCCCACCCTACCACCGCATCCCCTCACCTGCGGGGGCTCCTCGTAGTTCTCCCCCTCTGGCTCCAGCAGCGGCTCAACCAGTGGTTCCTCCGCAGCCTCCTGGGCCACCTCCTCTGCCTGGGAGTGAGCCACGGGGTCAGTCCCATGTGCACAGCCCCCCACGTGGCGCCCACCCACCCTGCCCCTGCCAAACCAGCAATGCACCCAGCATACAGGGGGCTCCATGTGGAGGGAACCAGCAGCACCCTGGGCACACAGCAGCCTGCTTAGCTGGGAGGTGACATGTACAGGTCTGTGGGACCGGGGGCTGTGTGTGCACATCCCTGTGCTTCTCCTGGCCCCGGGCAGGCAACGGGTGCTGGCACCACCGTGCAGGCCCCGTCGAACTCCAGAGGCTGGCAGTGCTGCCGGGAGCATCCTGCATCCCTGTCAGGGGAGGGCGGTGCTGGGTAACCCCTCCCCGGGGCTGGCAGGAGGGAAAGGGGGGCAGCCGATCCCGCCGCGCAGCGACGGTGGCGGCGGTGGCCTCATTTCTTCAGCTGATGCTATTTTGGGCTAAGCTGGAAGCCAACAGCTCATGGGGCGGCAAGCTGGAACCCGCTGCCCCTCCCGCAGCTGTCAGGTCACCTCGCAGCCGCCGGAGCGATGCGCCGCAGGCCCGCGCCGCCGGCCGCCATGGCGGGGCCCGCGCGCTCACACGTCCGCACGCCCCGCACACGCGGCCGCACACGCGGCCCGCACGCTCGGGGCCGCGATGCCCGCCTGCCCTGGGCACAGACAGGGCACCTGGGCACCCTCAGGGGCCCTCCCCCAGGACTGGCGGGTGGCCAAGGGGCTCCCCGCCAAACGTGGGCACATGCCAGCCTCCTCGGCAGCACCCAGCGGGGCTCTCACCTTCAGATCCGCAGGGAACTCCTCTTTCTTCACCAGCCCGGTGGCCGCCGCGATGTTGCCCGCACCAGAGAACGCCGCTTCGCCCAGCTGGGACGCCTGCTCCTTCGCTTTCTCAGCCACTGCAAGAGCCAGGGGTGCCCATCAGTGCCCTCCCCGTGCCAGGGAGGGGAGCCCAGCTGTGACTTCATGCCCTGCCCCATCCGGGGGGAGCTGGTGGGGAGTCACTGGGCAGGGTCAGGCTCTTCCCACTTCCCTGCCCGGGCTCTGGGGAGGGGAGGGGGCCAGGACACTGCTCTGCAGCTGGGCAGGGAGTGTGAGCTGCCGCTGCAAATCCTTGGTTGCGGGCCCCATTATATAAGAGGCTTTAGCAGAGTGACATCAGCCCCTCAATTAGCCTCTGATCTCGTTAGTGCGGCCACACTCTCAGGGACAGAGGGGCACGGCAGCGGGGAGACAGAGGGGACTGTACCTGAGGTTACGCCTTGCACCACACCTTGGGTTTTACTCCCTGTGGGTAGAAAGAGATGGAGATCAGGTTAGAGAGGCCAGTGGCCAGGCTCTGCCACATGCTGTGGCCAGGACCCTTGCAGGGCTCTGAGACAGGGCATCATCCTGCCCACAAGCCAGCCTAGCCACGCCAGGGCAGCCTGGGGGCTGGGGACCTGCCTGGTTCCCTGCTAGGTTTCTCTGGTCCCTGCAGAACCCTCAGGAGTGGGCCCCATGCCTGGCAGGGCAGAGACCCCAGGGCCCACACCGTGTCAGGGCCCAGCCAGGCAGGCTGAACGCCAACCATGCTGCTGAGTGAAACCTCCCACAGGAGCCAGGATCCAAACCCAGAGCTGGTGCCAATACAGCACAGGAAGCCTCACAGCTAGAGTGCCCAGGGCTGGGTGCTGCTGCTGGCCATGATAATCCTGCCAGGCTCCTACAGGCAGAGTGACACCACTCAGGACACCCCATGGAATGGGGCTGTGGTGTCTAGGATGGAAGGAAAGGCAGGGACTGGGCAGCTCCTGCAGGATAGGGCCTCCGGGCACTCCTTAGGCTGCTGGACCCCCATCCAGCACACACACCCTGGGCAGAGTGTGGGTCCAGAGCAGGCATCCACCACTGCCCAAGGGAACAGTTCTGGGACCTCAGCATTCCCACAAAGCTCACGCCCTCTGGAACAGGACAGAGCCCCAGCCCTGTGCCTCCTGCTCCAGGCCAGGGTGGCCTCAGCTCCTGCCTCCAGCATCCCAACACCACAGCCAGGCACACAGCCTGCCCAGGATCTGCTTTTCCTGCCAGCCGTATCTTCTAGGACTTGGCCCCAAATAGACACAGACCCCAGCAGCACAGAGGGACAGCACAGAGGGACTCCTTAGTCACCAACTGGGAGCAGGGGAGCATCTCCTGGCATGGGATGCATTCCAGGGCATTGCCTCTCCAAGGGGGAAAAACGTGGTCCCAGCCCTGCTGCCCCAAGCTGGGTACTTCCCAGCACAGGGGTCATCACCTCTACCACAGTCCCTCTGGACTCCTGCCCCAGAGCATCCACCGGGGACCACAGGGGGTCCAGTCCCCGGGGGGCCCATGGCCTCAGCCTTGGGACCAGCCCCGGCTCTGCTCTTGCCCGCAGAGCCCACCCTCCCGCCTGCAGATTCCCGGTGGGCTGGGGGGCACTGCGGGCACCGACCCTCTGTCCCAGGACACCCCGCCGCAGGGTGGTCGTGTCGGGGAAGGGGCAGGGGAAGGCGGGAGAAGGGGGAGCGGGGTCGGGGACAGGTGGAGGCGGAGAGGGGACGGCAGGGGGATGGGCAGGAGGACGCAAGGGCAAACGCAGGAGCAGGCAAGGGCAGACAGAGGGGGCCGGCAGGTGCAGGCAGGAACGGGCAGGGATTAGCCAGGAGGGCAGGCAGGGGCTGGCAGGGGGCAGGCAGGGGGCTGGCAGGGGGCTGGCAGGGGGCTGGCAGGGGGCTGGCAGAGCAAGCCGGTCCTTACCGACATAGAGGACCCCTTCCTTGGTCTTCTCGGCCGCCTCGGCCACCCCTTGCTTGGTCTTCTCGGCGGCGGCGACCACCCCCTCCTTGGCCTTGGACAAGCCCTTCATGAACACCTCCATGGCGGCTCTGCGGGGAGAGGCCGTACGGCTTCACCCCGCCCCGGCCCCGCGCCCGCCTGCCCCGCGCATCCCGGTCCCGCGCATCCCTTCCCCGCGCATCCCATCCCCGCGCATCCCGGTCCCGCGCCCCCGACCCCGCCACCCGCCCGACCTGGCTCGCTGTCGGCGGGGACGGGCGGGCCGGGCCGGGCCGGGCCGGGCTGCGGCGGGGCGGGCTCAGTGCGGCTGTGCCGGGGCCGCGCTGCGCCGCGCTGCGCCGTGATGCGCGGGGGACCGCGCCGCGCCGGGCTGAGCCAGCCTGAGCCGTGCTCGGCCGTGCCGAGCCGTGCCCCGCCGCCCCCGCACCGCCCCGCACGGCAGCGGCGCCCCCGGCTCTTCGCCGCCCCAGCCCGCGGGCTCCCAGTCCGCACTGCTCAGCACCCCGTCACGGCCCTTCTCCCCATCCTCCCCGTCGTGATCCCACCCCACGCTATCCCCATGCTATTCTGTTTGGATCCCCATCACATTCTATCCCACCCCCTCCTTGTCCCTTCGCCTCCCGACCCTGATCCCATCTCATTCTGATCCCATCGCCTCCTGTCTACGAGCTGTACTTATCCCATCCCATCCTTATCTCATCCCATCCTTATCCCTCTCCAATTCTCAACACATTCCATCCTGTCCCTGTGCCATTCCCATCAGTGATGGCCTTCTCATCATGTCCTCTTCCCATCTCATCCCACTCTTTTCCCATCGTACCTGATCCAATTCTGATCCCATCCCCTACCCACTCCCTCTCCATCCCATTCCTGTTGCATGTTGTTCCATCCTTTCCTAACCTGATCCCATCCCTACCCTCCAATCTGATGCTACCCCACCCTCTTTGTGTACCATCCTGCCCTGCCCATACCACACCATCTTAATCTCCCTCATATATGGTCTCCACCTTACCCCATTCCACATCTCCATCCTGATCCCATCCCACTCTGAGCGCCTGCTCTCATGCCCCAGCTCCCTGCCCCAGAGGGGAATCCTCCATCTCCCTGCTCTCCAGGAAGGGCAGGCCTGACACCCCCTCCCAGGACACCACCCTCCTGCCCCACCAGCTGCAGCTCCTCATCCTTCCCGCCTGTGGGCATTTAAGAGCCAGGGGCAGTGTGGGGGAGCATGTGCTGGGCAGGATGGCTACAGGGGAGCAGGTGGGTGTTTGCCCTGGGGGCTGGGGAGGCAGGCTTAGGCAGCCCTGCTGTCCTTTGGGTCTCCCAGTGTGAGTGTGGCTGAGGGGCTGCAGGCTCCCTGCTGGGGTGGCCATGGGGCTCCTCAGGGCTGTCCCTCCTTCCCCAGCAGAGGCCGGAGAAGCGGCGCCGGCGCAGGGCTCGGCAGCAAGAGCTACTCCCAGAAGAGATCCTGGACAAGCACCCCCTGCAGAACAGGTATGGGGAGCCCAGCCATGGGCAGCCTCTCCCAGCTCTGGGAGGGGTGAGCTGGGGCTGGAGGGGGTCTCCAGCATGGCTGAACACTCTTTCCCTCCCCAGATGGGCACTGTGGTTTTTCAAGAATGACAAGAGCAAGATGTGGCAGGCAAACCTGCGCCTCGTCACCAAATTCAGCACTGTGGAGGACTTCTGGGCGTGAGTGTCCCATGGGTGGGCACACGCAGTGTGCCCCTTCTGGAGATGTTCTGGTGGGGAGGTCTGGGCCAGAGGAGGGTGCTGGAGGTCCCTGAGGCACCTTTTCTCACCTGGCTTCTGTCTCCACCTGGTATAGGTTGTACAGCCACATCCAGCCCGCCAGCAAGCTCTCATCTGGCTGTGACTATTCCCTCTTCAAGGTATGATGCTCCATTCTCACAGTCCCCACCGTGCCCAGCATTATGGGGGCACACTGAGTGCTGGTGGGGCTGGCAGGGTGCACTGGCTGTAAGATGGCAGGGGAAATCTGGCTGGATGTTCACAGCTCCCAGAGTCAGCTTTGGCTGGGTGTTTGGTGCCCCTGACCATCCCCTTGCCCGTCCCTAGGATGGCATCGAGCCCATGTGGGAGGACAGCCAGAACAAGTGTGGTGGGCGCTGGCTTGTCACCCTGTCCAAGCAGCAGCGGCACACCGAGCTGGACCGTTTCTGGCTGGATACGGTGAGTGCAGCCCTGCTCAGGCTGGCCTGGGGATTCTGGCTGTGGCATTCCCGCTGCCTCAGGACTGAGCCCCAGCAGGGACTGTCCTGGGCTCCTTTCCTCCTGGCAGCTGCTGTGCCTCATTGGGGAGATGTTTGATGAGTACAGCGACGAGGTGTGCGGGGCCGTCATCAACATCCGCACCAAGGGGGACAAGATTGCCATCTGGACCCGGGAAGCGGAAAACCAGGAAGGAGTCACCCACATTGGGTAATGCAGCTTCAAGGGAGGCTGTACGGGACCAGTTTTTTAGGGGGAATGGGGTCTCTGGGCAGGGAGCCAGTGGTAGAAGTGCTGCCCTGTTCATGCAGCCCCTTCCTTCTGGCAGGCGTGTCTACAAGGAGCACCTGGGCCTGTCACAGAAGGTGACCATCGGGTACCAGGCCCACGCAGACACGGCCACCAAGAGCAACTCCCTCCCCAACACCAAGTTTGTGCTGTGACTGTGGGGGTAGCAGGGGTCCCCATGTATTGTCTCAGAATGAATGGCTGCATCTGAATATGGTCTGTGTCTCCAGGGCTCTGGAAACTTCAGGTGGCTCTTATTTGGGGATGGGAAGGGGGATGATGTGTTGCTCCCCGCCTTCTCCCCGCTTTCTGGGTGAGCAGGGCTGAGAGCACTGTGGTTTGCGGCATGTTCCCCTGTCTCCTCTAGTGCCTGGGACGAGTGCCCCTCTCCCTGGGGCTGTGGAGGTGTTTCTCAGCTCTGGGAGACCCTGGATAGATGCTGGGTTCTGTCTTCCTCTGGCCAAGGCACAGGCATTGCTCACTGCCCCGCAAGCCTGGGCATGGGAGGGAGTACTGGAGCTCAGCTCATCTGGGTCAGCTCAGCCTGGTGAGCTGGTTCCCATCTCTCCCAAGCCCTGCACGTCAGTGAGACGGGGTTCTGCCTTCCCAGGAAGATCATCTCCACAGCTGAGGGCTGTCAGCATCCCTGCAGAGTGGGTGCTGGGGCTGCAGTACAGCATTGTCCCCATGCTGCATCACCTCCCACAGACACCTGCAGCACAGGTGGTACAAAGCTTGTTTGCTTCCCAAGGCTTTACTGGTGCCAGACCTACATGTTCACAGCCTCAGTCTGTAGAGCACTGGGACTTTGCTGGCTCCTCCTTTCTGTGGCTCATGTCCTCTGCTGTCCCTCCTGGTTCTCCTGGTCTGTGGCTGCAGAGGGGCCACTATATTCCCTTCCAGATCCAGCCCAGCCTGTACTCTGTCCTTTAATCTTTTATTTGTGTGTTTAAATGTTGTATCAGTCCTCCTTCTCTGCCTAGTCAGGTTCTCAAGGTGGAGCTGTCTGCTCACCTCCTGACAGTGCTGCCTACAGCTCTGCCCTTATTGCAGCTCTCATGCAGGAGGATGCATCCTCCATCCCCTCCAACAGCACACAGGCTCCGTGTCAGCCTAGGGTTACGCCTCACCCAGGGCAGCATGTCTAACCCATCTGTGCCTCCCCATGAGCCCAGAGCTAGGGCCACTCATTCCCCACAGTGCTGGGACAGCACTGCTCTGTCCAAAGCCAGGCTCTGCAGAGAGCTGGTCCCTCAGAAGGACAAAGTATCGACCACATCTCTGCTCTTGGAGCTACTTGAGACCTGTCTGGTCACAGCTTGGCAGGCAGCTGGTGCAGCCGTGACCCCGGGGTCTCAGCTGCCTGCAGTGCAGCCCGTGGGGTTGAGCTTACTGAGCCCTGCGCTGCCCTGGGTTTCTGCTGTGTCTGCACAGAGCCGTGTCCCTGGGACTCAGCTGTCTTTCTCCAGGGGACAGCAGCAGGGACTCCAGGGCACCTCCCCACAATGCCCCCTGTGCCAGGTGGAAGATGCTGCTAAGAGGGCAAAGACAGGAGCTCATCCCTGCCAGGCAGCGGGCCAGGCCATGGCCCTGTGTCCTTGCATCGTGTGCTCGGTCATTTCTCTCTGCAGGTGCAGGGGTGACAGGATCCCACTGCCCTTCCCCATAGGACAGCTGGGTTGGAGGTGCTGCAGGCAGCAGGACCAGGCTGGGGGGACGGGGGAGAAGGGGAGGGGGGCAGCACCTCTAGCTGGGGGTGCCTGCAGGTGAGGGAGCGAGGGTCGGCTCTGCCTGCCCTGCCCGGAGGTCCCGCACGGGTGCGTGTGCCGGCAGCCTGGGTGCTGCCTGCGCTGCCTGTACCGTCGGTCCCTCGCCACGCGATGGTGCCGCTCGCCCGGCCTTGGCCAGCTCCGGCACGGCAGGGCTGGCAGCCTGCCCTGCCTGCTGTGGGGTCCCTGCCTGGCCTGCGGTAGGGTACACTCTGACTGCAGTGGGGTGACAGAGCTACCCCAGGTTCCCAGAGGAGAAGCAGGCAGAGCCACCTGTGGGTTAACAAGGTTGAAGCTGGAGGAGAGGGTGCTGAGACCCCCTTAAAACATACCATTAATGGTCCTCCCCAGCAGTGACAGTGTGAAGTGTGTGAGAGCCAGGAGCTGCCTGTCCCTCTGTCTCTTCAAGCCACTGCACTGCCCCACGTGGCCCTCCCATAGCCCCCCACCTGCCTCTGGGGCCGAGCCCCCTGCTGTCTTTGTCCCCTTACCCCAATGCCTGGGGCAGCAAGGACATTGTGCTCATGGGCTGCCCTGTCAGCTGGGGAGGCCAAGGTTAACTGGGGTGGGGGGGCAGAGGCTGCTGCAGTGCTGTGGTTCATCACCATTCTTGTGCAGCCAGGGTGGGATTTCATTTGATTGGAAAAAATAATAGGAGCCATTTATCTCCATGGGTTTATGGGTTCCCAGCATCCCCACAGCCCAGCCAGGCTGGGAGGCTGGCAGTGCCCACCCAGAGCCCACCCTTTGGGGACACAATGACCTTCATCCTTGAGTCCTGCACTCCATAGTCCCTCTCTGAGGGCCCAGAAGGTGATGGGGGCAGTCGGGGACCCCCCCGGGTGGGCACAGTCGTTGCCAGGAGCCACCCAGTGAGTACAGCAGTGTCAGGGCTGCCCCTGGCCTGTCTCATGCTGGGTAGCTGTCCCAGCTGGCAGCCGAGCTGGCAGCCCTGTCAATAATAATAATTAAAAATTAATACTAATCAAAAGGGAGAGGCAGATGGCAGCAGACATGCGGCAGGGCTGCAGGTGGAGGGGGGGGACACTGGCGACAGAGGGGCCTGCAAGGACGGGGTGGGGGGGGCAGGAGTGCTGTGGCATCCAGCAGGGAGGGCAGTGCAGAGCGTGGGACCCATATGGAACAATAGGGATGGGGGATGTGGGGCTGCAGTAGCTGTGGGGCACAGCAGGAGTGGGGAGCGAAGCACAGTGCTGGGCTGGTGCAGGGATGGAGATCCATGTCCCCCTCTCTGGGCAGGTGGAGTGGGGTGGTGGTGCTGGGTGCCTCTGCAGGGTCACCTTGCCAGCAGCTGGCATGCAGCCATGGCCAGGCACTGCCAGTCCAACTTCTCCATGAGCCACCAGCTCTGGCAGCCAGGACAGATCCTGCCTCCTGCCCCCAGCATGTGTCTGGTACCAGGATGGGTGCAAGCACCCATTCTGTTACAACCAGTGGGTGCTGCAGGGTTAAAATCCCCCAAATAACTGGGGAAGGAGCTGCTGGCTCTGTGCAGGGTGTGTGGGCCGGGGAAGAACAGGCAGCGCTGGCTCACCGTGGGAGTGGGCAGGCAGTGCGGCTGCCGGCACTGGGGCTGTGCCGCACTGTTCCCACAGTGCCTGAGCCTGTTACCCAGCCAGGGGTCACAGGGATGCTCTGGGCCTTGCAGAAGGGATGTATGCACGCAGGGGACCTGTCCATGGGTACTGTCTGCATCCTATGAACATTCCTGGGTTGGAGCCTCCCATGCCCTCCCTGCCCACCCTGCCAGGCCCTGGAAAAGGCCCAGACTGTGCTGGCCCTCCATCCAGAATCACCATGGCATGCAAGGAGGGGTACCCAGGGTGAGGGGTACCTACAGTGCACTGTTCCCATGACAACCTCCTGGGAGAGATAGCAGTCAGTGTGGGAGATGGGGGAGGTGAGGGGCCTGTGGACCCCTCCACACGTGGGCTGCCGTGCCTGGCAGGACACAGTGGGGCACAGCAGAGCGGCTGCACCTGTGGGTCTTGCCCCCAGACTTGGGCTCTACCTGCTCCATCCTGTTCCCTGCCTGCTGTCCCTGCAGTGTGGGGCAGGCTGGCATGGCAGTTCTGGTGCTGCCTGCCCAGGCTGGGCTGCTGCCCTTACAGCAACAGCTTTGCACGGGGTCTTTGCACAGCTGGGTTTGCACAGCTGGGTTTGCACAGTGGGGAAGGGGTTAAGTGGCTGCAGGGTCGTCCCCAGCGCTAGCAGTAGAGGAGGGGAAGATGGGGACAATATCTCCTGCCCTGCGCCTCAGGGAGCCTGTACCTGAGAAGGGTCCTTTGCTGTCACTTCTCATCTGGGTGGATACCAGGCTCTGCAACACGGCTGAGCACTCTCCTTCCCCGCAGGGACGGGCTGGCACTTCTCGCTTTGCAGAGGCAGGCGGGGGGAGCGAGTGGGTGGGATGGGGACAGGGATGGGGATGGGGACAGCTGCAGGAGCTGTGTGGACACAGACCTGCAGGCATGGCTGCAGCACGGGGCTGTGCAGGCGGCAGGCAGTGCCACCACCCCTATGGGCTGTGTTCTGCTGGACCTGCATCATGGCCTGGGTGCCCCCCAGGTGGCTGGCACGTGCACACGGGGCCTTTTCCTGCCCCAGCTGCTGTGCCTGTGCTCTCCATGCAGCCTCTGCCTGCAGCCCCCTCCCTCAGCTCCACCAGTGGATGCTACCAGCTCCAAGGGACCACCCTGCTCTTCCCTCAACACAGATGCATTAGTACACCACCCCCATCCTCCCAGTGTGACACAGGGACCAGCCACTCTCCTGGTTCACAGGGGAGCAGCTGTCAGCCCTGGGGTGCAGGGCACGTGGCAGGCAGCACCACTGGTGCCTGTCCTTTCCCTCCTGGCCCTGTGCACCCTGGTGTGCACTTGAAAGGGGTTGGTGATACTCCAGCTCACAGCCACCCCCCTCCATGAGGTTGGGGGCTGCCAGGCTCCCCGCCAGGCCCCCTGCATGCCCCAAGCGCCACGTCTCTGGCTGGGAGGACTGGTGTTTCCCGGGCGGTCGATGCACCCATCGATCCCGCACAGCTCCGCCGGCTGCTCTCCCACCGCCCTGCTAATTAATTGTCTACTGCTGCTACTGCAGGAGTGCTGGGCACCCGGGGTGCCTGGGCTGCCTGTACCCTTCCCTGCCAGCATCCTCCCATGCCTGCACCCTGCCCTGCTGCTAGCTCACAGCTCCTGCCCCACACATGGAGCTGGCACCCACCTCGGGTCCACGCCTGACCCTCCTGTGTCACAGAGTGGGGGGGTCTGTGTCAGGCTGGAGACGGGGCTGGCAGGCTCGGGGCAAGGTGAGGAGCACAAGGGGCTGAGCAGGAGTCTGGGAGGCAGCACATGGCCACTTGCAGACCCTACCAGCTGCCCAAGTCCAGGACAACCTCCCACTGCTCAC